ACCAGTCCATCTCATTGGGGGTCTTCCTCTCTTTCTCTGACCCTCCACCTTACCAAACATGATATCCTTCTCCAGTGACTGGTCCCTCCTGACAATATGTCCTAAGTATGAGAGACGAAGTTTGGCCTTCTTGGTATCATTCAATATGGAACTGATTGGCACTTAATACAACAATAGTGATCAACTCAAATCCTGGTGTGGCGCTGTAGAATAAGCTAACCTCAAGGTTGGCAGTTTAAATGTACCAGCTACTCCTTGGAAACCCTATACAGGTTCACTTTAATTCAGAACCAATTCAGTGGCACTTAACAATGGTGATGAACTGATCGTTGGAGTTTGATTGGGAATATTCAACTCTACTTATGTTGTTGTTAAGTTCTGTCAAGTCAGTTCCAACTAATAGCAACCCTCTGCACAATAGAATGAAACATTACTTGGTCTGGCACCATCTTTGCATTTTTTGTTACACTTGAGCCCATTGCTGCTACCACTGTGCCAATCCATCTCATAGGAAGTCTTCCTCTTTTTTCACTGACCCTCCACTTTACCAAGTTAATGTTCTTCTCCAGAGACTGGTCCCTCCTGATAATATGTCTGAAGTATGAGATAAAGTCCTGTCATTCTTGCTTCCAAGGAGCATTCTAGCTGTACTTCTGCTTATAAATAAACATAAATAGTTGCTTATCTAGGCTTTCCCTTCTTCAAGAACACCCTCACAGAAAGAATAAAACAAGAAGGGAATATCTTCACTTTTCTAAACTACAGTGAGTGAATCTTTCATGTGGTGGACTCCTAACCTTCATTTACAATCTTATGCAATAAACATGAATTATATACACTTCACATCTGAAAAACATCTTTTTAGAAGAGAAAAGTACATCAATATTTTTTTTCAGTAAAGACATTCATAAAACTGTACCTTCTTTTGTTTTCAATTTTGCTTTTATAAAATCAGAACATTTGGCCAACATGGAAGTTTTTCATCATGGAAATCACACATTTCTTTAAAACAAAACAAAGCAGAAACCTGACACAGTTTTTATTCTGCTAGTGTTGTTCATATTTAAACACTGTAGTTTAGGGGACAATATCTTCCCTTTTGTTGAAATAAAGTTACTATATAAATAACATTAGAAACTGTTAAAATTGAAGAGATGATTTTCTAGGAAATGTAACTTTCATTTTATCGTTGTCCATAATGTTTACATATTCTTGAAGTCCCTACAACACTTTTACTGAGCAGCAATTGTGTAACATAAAACCATATTCAATGAACATACAAAGAACACAATCTCTAAGAATACTTTTTTAAAAGTATGGAATCCCATAGGGATAAAAATAAGGCTATGCTTCACAATACTTACACAGTGCCTGGAGTAGGGTTCATACCTTTAACAACCCTTCTCTCATGCACAGTATCCTATGGGCATTGAAACTCTGTCACTTTTTTCAAGGTAATACTAGAATATTTTGGAGAATTTGCTTCCTCTAAACTCTTCAAAATTATTTATTCCCATGACAGAAATAAGTTATTAGCAGCTGGACAACTATAAAGAACGAAAGAAACAAACCACAAAATAATGTGCCTCGGTACCAATGTTTCATGGTAAGCAAGGGATTCTAAGAAAAGGAATTCTAAGATTCTAGAATTTTGGTCTTTTCATTTTTACCTGGAAAAGAATATTCTTTCCTTCCAGTACTCAACACTTTTCCTGATTCTGAAAACAGGAAAGAAAAACTGAGTCTATTTGGTCAAAACTTGACTTTGCTCACTGAATTTTGAACTGTTGAAGTCTTGCCCATGCCCTGATGCCAGCTTTAAGGCAGGAAGTTTGGTAGGTGAAAAGGGCCAGGGATCCAAGGAGAGCTGTCTGTCTCAGCTGTCTTCAGTGAATCATTTCAGTTCCCTGAGATGCACTGTGTTCCTGTAAATATAGGTATGCATGTCGTCAGAACACTTAACATTTCTCCATACTATTGGCAATAGAAAACCACAGCTTCTAGCACAGACTCTTTTTAATAGTCTCACTGGACTGTCTTGTTAAATGCCCGCAAATACTATGCATGTACTCTTAATTCTGACAGCAATTCTATGAGATGAGTACTAATACTGAGTCATTAGGGAGCACTGTGTTTCTGTTTAGTGTGATAGAAAAACTTGGAAATGGAAAGTGATGGTGGTTGTACAACATGACAAATGTAAGACATAACACTGAATTGTACATGTAGAAAAGGTTGAAATGGCAGCTGTTTCATTGTATATATATTCTTATACCATATATGGCAAAACATCTGACATTTCAGTATTTTTACATGAATTGGGCTAATGCACTGGACTGCAAGGTCAGTTTGAACTGAAAGGTCAGTGGCTCAAATTCACCAGCCACTCCTCAGAAACCCTATACAGGGTCGCTACAAGTTGGAATCAACTCGATGGCATTTAACAATAACAACAACATGTATTTAGGAGTATGGTAGTTCTGTAGGATAAGCACTGGACTGTAAACCACAAGGTTGGCAGTTCAAGCCCACCAGGCTTTCTGCTCCCACAAAGAGCTACAGCCTCGGATACCTTTTATAGGATCGTGATGAGTCAGAACCAACTAAACATCACTTAACAACAAAATCAATGCATATAAACATACATATTATGCATATGCTATACATTGTTGTTGTTGTTTTTAAGTGCGGTAGAGTCAGTTCCAACTCATCATGACTCTATAAAGGGTTTCTGAGTGACTGGTGAGTTTGAACTGCCAACTTTGCGGTTCACAGTCCAGTGCTGATAGTACAGTCCCTGTTATACATACATACATATCTATATATCTATATATATCTCTATATCTCTATCTCTATCTCTATATCTATATCTATATATGCCACATTTTAAAAAATGCTAAACAACAACAAAATTATTGCTTGAGGTTATAGAACTATTAAGTGTTAAGTGGTAGGGCAAGAGTCAAGATTCAGAAAGTTCACATCCATTTCCAGAGTGCCTGGGTTCTTATCCACCACCCTACTACATTGGATAATGTTACACAAGAACTGTAACATCCAAAAACACTTCTTCTCAACCCCCTGGACAATTCAGATCTGTCATTCCCTCTTTCTCAATGGATCATTTCCAAGCATATCTTCTAGTGAGTGAGCAGCATACCATGTCTATGACTTGGTGATTTGTATTCTTGTAGTCATATTGGCAAGAATATAGTATATTTCCTACTCCATTAGATTATTGGACTACTTAGTATATTATCAAGATTACCCTACAAATTAAATCTGTGTCTTGGAATTTGTTCATTGAAAGTTAAGATTATATATATATATATATATATTTTAATGTGCAAGCCTTTTTTTTATATAAGCATAATAATGATGCTATAAGGAGCTCTGGTAGCGTAGTGGTTACGAATCGGGCTGCAAACCTTAAGGTCAGTGGTTCGAAACTACCAGCTGCTCCGCGGGAGAAAGATAAGGCTTTCTACTCCGGTAAAGATTTACACCCTCGGAAACCCTGTACAGGGTCGCTATGGGTCGGAACCGACTTGACGGCACTTAACAACAACAACAACAACAACATAAGAATTAAAACTACTCTTGTCTAGGGAACATCTTTTTATTTCGGTCTAATGAAGTGAGGTGCATTATCCTTAAATCACTGTTATTGTAAAGAATGACTTTAATATTTATCTCTATTGTGTGTATATACCCACTCCTCACTTACATACTATCCTGTTTGCTGACATTCTGCACTTATAACATTGATTTTAAAAAAGAAACTGTTTTTAATCAATGTTATAATTTTAATAAGCAACTATTTTGCTTATTAAGAACACAAATCTTATAGTAATGAATAATGACTAACGCTGGCTACGTGTGGTGCTGTGGGTTAATGCACCAGACTGCAAAGCCATTTGAACTGCAAGTTTGGTGGTTCAAGCTCACCAAAAGCTCCTCAGAAATCTTTTACAGGGTCACTAGGGGTCGGAACTGACTCGACGGCACTTAACAACAACAACATGATGGTTAAGGTTCTGTGTCCACTTGGCTGGGCCATGATTCTCGGTGGTTTGACAGTTATGTAAAGGTGTAATGTGGCAGTTAAGTAATGATATAGTTATCCTGCATTTTGTGATCTGATATGGTCATCCTCCATTGTCTCATAACACTGGTTTTCACATTCCAACCTGGTCTTTCGAGCTTAACCATGCCAATAAATGAGGAGTGAGTATGTGTAATCAGTAATGACTATGTTACTATCAAAGCTTTTGCTACATACAGTGGGTTAAGCCTTGGGCTGGTAACCAAAAGGTCAGCAGTTTGAACCCACCAGCTACTCCAAGGGAGAAAGATGAAGCCGTCTGCTCCTGTGAAATGCCCCCTCCCTCCACAAAAAAACAAAAACAAAAACAGGCCATCAATGACAATACATCTCTCTTATTTACTTTCCCCCAAAACATAGGGAATACAAAAATTCAGGTTTAGCACACAGACCACTCAGCACACTTTCATGGGGTAGTGCAAATATGAACATCAAAATTCTCTTCAGAGGAATAGGAGACTTCCAAATTCTCACAAAGTCTAACAGAGTGCTCAGGAACTAAGATTCTTGAACCAAACCTCCTGACCTGAATCCCAGCTACTAGCTTTAGACTTTTGTTGTTGTTGAGTGCTGTCAAATCACTTCTGACCAACAGCAATCCTGTCCAGGGTTCCCGAGGGAGGAGTGGCACCCCAGGAGTCCCTACATAAGGGTTAGCTTTCATCATTATTATCATTCATAAATGGAATGATTCAAAAAGGGCTAGGTCCCTTGTTCCTTACCTTTCCTTCTACAAAGAAATGAAACAACATCCTAGAAAATACTTTGGTCATTTTCCTCCAGAAATTAGCCAAATTTGGAGGATTCAAGGAATTACAGAACATCTGGAGAGAACATCACTTTCTCATAACTATAGTAGGATATGAGTATCAAGTCTTACCTGATTCCTTTGGACTTAAATTAACTCAGAAGGAGCTTGGTAGGTTCCCTCTGGTTCCAGGTGTAGGTAGCTGCTGGGGAATGCATGAAAAACACTGAGTAAAACCCTATGTTACAATATGAAGAAGGAAAAGGGGACAGAAAGTTCAATGGCATGCATTGAAAAAGAATGTAACGTACCTGGTAGGCACAAATTTCCTTGCTGCAAGAGAAAGAAAATCATTAACTTGGACTGAATGATTTTTAAGAACACATCAAATCCACTAACAACGTGACTTGATTTAAGGGGTTGCTAACTCAATGCCTTCAGGGCCCTTAAAATAACCAGAGTGCAAGGAGCTCTGGTAGCGTTGTGGTTACGAATAGGACTGCTAACCTCAAGGTTGGCAGTTTGAAACTACCAGCTGTTCTGCAAAAGAAAGATGAGGCTTTCTGCTCCTATAAAGATTTGCAGCCTCAGAAACCCTGTGCAGGTTGGAACCGACTCCAATACCAAGCGCAGTGGAATCAGGGGTAAAGTTCACAATGGTCTCTCCATCCAGTGGGCACAATAGCTACCTGGTCTCTGCAAATAGTTGCAGGCTCAGTTTCTGATTTTTAATGACAAGTCAGAAATTTGGATTTCTTCTGGGAACTTTGCTATTTTCTAAATATCAGAACTTAATTCCAAAACAAATTTTTAAAATTCCATAGGCCAAACAAACCATGAGTGTAGCTGGACATGTTTGCATGCTCTCTTTGAGATATTCCAAAATGTAAGTCTATTTCCCAAATGCATCATTTTAGAAAACATTTTGTGCATTTTCCTACGCACACCAATCATGGCAACCCCATTGCATAACTCCAGGGTGCACCATAGAGTTCTGAATGACCAGCATCCCTGAAGTGGTAAAATGTCAGCACAGCTAAAGTTACATTTACTAAAACCCTTAATGTATTTTCAGTTGCACAGTAAAATTTTTCTTAAGACTTCCACTTCTGTATTCTGGAGTTGATGAGTGGTTATCTAATCATTAGATTCTAATTATTGTTTAAATTTGCAAAAGAAGGCCATGATTCATTTTGTGAGAAAGAAAAAAATTGAAGTTTTTCAAAAGCCTATTTGGAGTACATTCCTGAACTCCCTCACCTTTCTTCTGAAAGCGTTTCAGGAGCCAGTAGAGAAATGATGCTGATGCCAGAAGGGAGGTTCCAGCAGTGCTAAGTCCAACAGCCAAGGGAACGTTGGACTCAGCAGGAGCTAAGAAAACAAGAGAGGAAGAACTATCACAACAAAGAATTGACATCTAAGTCTTTCTGTCCTTTCCATTTGACCTTTTCCTCTGCAACTTGATAGTAGAAACAGAAAAACCACCTAGTCCAATGCATGAGGCCAAGATATGGCATTAAAAACCTTCTAGATTTGCTCTAAATCCATTTTGCAGACAGAACTTGAACTTGCTTTTTCACAACACTACACCTGGGTAATAATAGGCTCTCTCTCTCTCTCTCTCTCTCTCTCTCTCTCTCTCTCTCTCTCTCTCTCTCTCTCGCTTTCCTTTTTATCCCTTCTTCCTGTTTCCTCGAGCTTTCTTTTCCAATTGTCAGAATTCTACCCTTCCAGTCAACATGTCACCTCTTCTATTTTTCTCTATCCCCGTGAATAGTCCACACCTTTTTTTAACCTGGGAACCCTTTATGGTTGGACATAGTAGACAATTAATTATGATCATCAAATGACTCCCCTTCGTCTCTCAAGTCCCCAGAAAGCCACTATCAGTCAATGCCTCACCTTCACAGCTAGGCAGCATCCCAGACCAGTGTCCTGTGGGACCGCATGTCAGAGCTGCAGAACCGTTGAGTGTCCACCCATCAGGACATGCAAATGAACATACAGTGCCGAACACAGGCTTTCCACTGCAGCTCATGTTGATCTTCCCGGGAACATCCAGGTTTGAACATTGTACCACTGCAAAGGATAAGCACAGGAAGTGAGGTAAAGAAAAATCTATTGGAAAACTTCAAAACTGGTTAAAATTTTATAGCTAAAAGTTACAATAAATACAATTTATAAGCACTGCTTTGTTTTCAGCATGCAGGAAATTATGATCAAGCCTATTGTACAATCTAGGGCCAGGAACTTATGAGATACTGGATCTATATTCCTTAAAGTCTGAACACAATCTCACCTTGGCAGGAGGGGACCTCCTGTGTCCACTGTCCCTGAGATGTGCACTCAAGTTGAGCTGATCCATGTAATTCAAAGCCTTCCTCACAGCTAAAGGCACAGGAAGACTTATAGGTGAATTCTCCGGTAGGCAAATGGGTACACTTCATGGAGCCACCCTGGGGCTGACTGACAGCATCACACTTCACAGCTGAAAGACACCAGACAGCACATGAGAGGTTTGTTTGCATCTGAAGCAAAAGGTTTCTCAAAGTAGATGAGCCCCTAGCTCTTCAACAGTGCTTATTTGAAATGAATACAAAATAAAAACAAAAACTCTACCTTCACATGTGGGCTTGTCACAGTCCCACTCCCCTGTGGGACCACACTGGAGCATTTTGGATCCTGTCAACACAAATCCCTGTTCACAGGAGAACTCACAGCTGGACCCACTTTGGAACATTCCAGAAGCACTAAGAAGACAGTTCATGTAGCCTCTCTCTGGGTTGGACAGGGCTTTGCACTGTAATGCTGAGACATCAAAATGGTAGAAAATATTGAGTAGAACTGGAGAATACTGAGCATTTCATGACTGACCACAATCCATTTTAAATAAAACAATGCTCAGAAAACTCAAGATTCTTCCTCACTCCCAGGACAACTAAGAAAAGTGGCTGAGCTTTTCAATACCCTAATGAATAATGGCCCTAAAGAACAGGGTTTAACAGGAATGGTGGTTTCTGAATCCATCCTAACATGCAAGAGAAATCAGGGTTAAGAGAAAGATTTTACGCAACCAAAGTGCAACTTATGGCTGCTGGCTGCTTACAGAACGGGGCTAAAAAGGTCTAATAAAAAAAAATTTTTTTTAAAGGCACCCACATAAAATGGGTCTGCTTTGCAGTTTGGTTATGGTGATGTGGCCTTTTGCCACAGAAACTTATTATGGGCTGTATTTGTTTACATTCTTGTTTTCAGTATATATTTGTTTTCAATATCTTCACTCTTATTTTAAAGTGAATTAAATGTTAGTGGTTAAATATGTCTGAAGAACGTCTTCCTCATGCTTGAACCATTCAGATCAGTTAGTTCTGAATGGTTTCAAAAGAAAGTCATGACAAGAATTTTAAATCCAAATCAAGTTCTTATGACCCTCCTTTAAGTTTCTCTAATGTGATTGCCCCCTAGGTTGAGAATTCTTACTCCAGTGTCTATAATACAGTAATGTTGGCACAGCACAGTTAAAAACCAGTAAAGTATCAACTGCTTATTACATGCAGCCCTTTACTTGGTCAAATACTGGCTCTTTTACATGAATCTCAAACACACAATATATATGGTGTCGATCATATGTAATTTCTCTAATTAAAGAAGGCATCTGGTTTCATTTTCAAGACGTGTATGAAGACTGATGTTCTTTAAGAATGGGAAAGTATAAAGGAGAGACTCTCAGGTTTACCTTCACAGGTTGGGATCTGCTGGGTCCACTGCCCTTGAGCGGTGCATTCAACTTGGGCTGGTCCCTGCAACTTGAAGCCTTGCTTGCAGGTGAAGTGGCAGGATGACTGGAAGGTGAACTCTCCAGAAGGGGAGTGGTTACAGTCCACAGAACCATTGGAAGGCCGGCTGATGTCACCACATGTCACAGCTGTAACACATGTACCCATTTACATTAGTAAGCTTGGTTTGCCCACTTTAGGTGGTTTACAATAAGTGATTGGTGTGAAGTAACTCTACCTTTACATGTTGGTCTCTTATTGTCCCAATTCCCAGAGGAGGTACACTGGAGATTCTGGGCTCCCATTAATTCAAATCCTTCTTCGCAGTCAAATGCACAGGTCGTGTTCCACAGGAAGCTTCCAGGGCTTTGGAAACATTCCATGGATCCATTGGCAGGACTTGTCAAAGCATCACACTCAACCACTGCAGATTTGAAAGAGCGCCATATAGGTTACAGAAGAATAATATTTTCATTTCCTATTGAATTGGAGTTTATAATAGAGTGAGGAAGATGCCTTCAAAAGCTAAGTTCCAATGTCCTACGTCATTCTTGGAGCGCTGCACACCCAAAGGACAGCTTCTTTTTCTTTTACTGATCTTTTCACCCTCTCTGACTAACTTTTACATTGACCATGCTGAAGGATCTCTGATGTTTTTATTATTTACATAAGGTACAAGCAAGTAAAAAGAAGAGATATGAGGTCAGGATTTATGACTAGTTGTGATAAAAATCATATATTATTGACATATATAAGGTATTTGTTTTGTTTAGCCCAGCAGGATCTAAAAGAAAGATTTGTTTGTCTGACTCCAGCTCAAAAAGTTAAAACTGAGAGAAGAAGAAATACTGAGATTGATTGGCTAGCATGGAAGAATAAACAGGGAACAAAAATGTGGAAATTACTAAGATTTATAGAATATGATTCCTTTGCTTTATGCATTTCTTCATAAATAATAAGCAGAGCTTCGGAGACTTAGAATAAAAGTCCTTTCTTTTAGATGCTGGATAGTCCACACAGATTGACTGAGATAGTCAATTTTCTTTTTTTTAAACAAAAAAACACAACAACCAAAAAAAAAAAAAAAAAAACTTCCTTTAGCGTTTTGGAAATAAGTGTGGTAAAAAACTGAGGAGTTCAGGAATGAGTCAGAGAGTGTTGTGCACATTAAAGGGAGACTTACCATTGCAGGCTGGGATAGGAGCGCTCCATTCTCCAGATGAAGTACACTGTGTGGCCTCCATGCTGCTGGGGAGGTAACCCTTTTCACAGGTGACTGAGCAGGAAGAATTATAGCTGAAGTCCCCCAGCGGATGAGTGCAAACCAGGGTCCCATGCTCAGGGACTTTTGGGGCTTCACAGGTCATAACTGAAAAAGGAAGCCCAGTCATTTCTGCTCATCTGTCCCCTTGTCTAAAGTGGGAGAACTCTGGAATCCATAACTAGTGTGTATTGGCTGCTTATCACATGTCAGGCTCTATAAATATTTCCTCTGCATTTGTTCATATAATCTTGTCAGCCTATAAATTTGGCATGCTCATCATTTTTATATCACAAATGAAAAATCTGAGACCCAGAGAGTTTACGTACCTTGTCAAGGTCTCATAGCTAATTAATTGGTGAATCTGCAACTTGAATTTAGCAATTTCAACTCCATAGCCTCAGATCTTCACCACTATTAAATGCTGCCCCAGGGAAGACATAATGCACCTGACTCCAAAGCCAGCTAAAACATGAGATGGGGGCCACCGTTCAAGTCAAAGGAGGGGTGAGACCAAGACTTACTTTGCTCACAGTGGAGTCCATGGAAGCCAGGGTCACACATGCAAGTGTAATTATTGATAGTCTCCACACATTCTCCATGACCACTGCAGGACATATTGGTGCATGCAGCTGTAAGAAACACAATCGATGATAATGATGATGATGATACCAATAGTGGGTTCATTTGGATTTAGCATCAGCAGTGTGCAACAGAGATGTCATCAATGATACAGAATGCCAGTGAGTCTAACAAAATGCCACATCTGATTTTTAGTTTCATCTATTTCAAACCTGAATGTTAATGTGTATCACTCCAGGGATAGTTGCAGCTAACACTACATATAGAAAATTCACTTTCTTACAGTTTCTGAATACAGTTCCTCTAACACAGATGAGAGCTCTGGTGTGGTGCTGTAGGAAAAGCACTGAACTGCTAACCTGAAGGCCAACATTCAAACCCACTAGTCACTCCAAGGAAGCCCTATACAGAGTCTCTCTGTACAGAGTCTCTATGAATCAGAACCAGCTCAACAGCACACAACAACAACCAGAGATGAGCAAGTTACCAAACTATGTATTATATAAAAACCACTTGATGGGGAGTGGATTCTAACTCATGGCAACCCCAGGTGCATCAGAGTAGAACTGTGGTTTGTAGGGTTTTCAGTGGCTGATTTATAGCAAGTAGCTCCCCAGGCCTTTGTTCCAAGATGCCTTGGGAGAATTCAACCTTTTGGTTAGCAATTGAATGAATTAATTATTTATACCACCCACATGCACACACACATTCTTGACTTGATTTACACAAAGAAGTACAAAGAGATACTGTATTCATTAAGCAGAACTTTTTAAAAACTACAGTATCCCTTTTAGAGCATATAATTGCCACAATCCAGATGGATTTTTGCACACTGTAAGCAATTTGCTAGGAGGCTCATCCACTGAAACTACCTCCCTCTGCTGCCCCAAACTCCGTACCTGTATAGCACAAGGCAAGCTTCTTTTTGCTGCAGCTCTCGTCATTCCACATGCCTTCATCCTTATCTCTCTTGATGTAGATCTCCACGCAGTCCTCGTCTTTTCGCTTATTGTTTGGTTCTCCTGGAGCCCAGTTCTCAGCTTCTTTGTTCAAAGGTTTCTTGGTTCCTTCCCAAATCCACTGACCATTTTCCTTTCTGATTCCAATCCAGTAGTAGCTTGGTGAATAGCTCAATATGGAGTTCAAGTAGTTAATCTCTTCTTTGTTTTGAATCGCTACTAGATGTGTGTACCACTGCTGACAGTACTTACTTGCCTCACCATAAGTCAGGTTCTCTGTGGAGGCGTTATAAGACCAGGCTCCGCTATCTTTAATCAGGAGGAACACTAGGGAGGACACGTGAAATGAATGGTAGAGGTTAGTCCTGCTATGATTTGACTTTATAGACTGCGCTTTTTATTTTCTTAATTTTGTTGGTGTTCTCCTCAGAAACCAAAAATGTATGCTTCAGCATAGGACCCAAACTTTTTTCACTTTTCAGAGTTAAGGTACGTATGTGTCAAGAGACTACTTTTATTGTGGCCCTCCTTTGCGATTGCTGAACTCTCCAACTTTTAGTCTACTCACTTTATATATAGAATAGTAACCGGAATAACTAAACGTTGTTGGGCATGTAGTATGTGGTGTCAAACACTGCCTGAAGCATTGTTCGCAAGCATCACACTGAATCCTCACCATACCACAGGAATATCTGTAATTTATGAGCAATACTTCAAACCTGAGAAAGGTGAGACACTGAGAGGCACAGACACTAACTGTCACAGAGCCTGTTCAGACTCGTGACGACCCTTAGGTGCAGAGTTGAACTGCTCCACAGGGCTTTCAAGACTCTGATCTTTTGGAAACAGATTGCCAGACTTGTCTTCTGAGGCTACCCTGGATGGATTCCAACCTCCAATCTTTTCTGCTAGTATTCAAGCATTTAACAATTTATGCTAGCCAGGGGCTCAAACTGTGCCTTTGTTGCTGTTGCTAAATGCTATCCAGTCAATTCTGACTCATAAGGACCCTATGTGGGCTTTCTGCGGAGGTGAGTTTGAGCTGCCAGTCTTGTGGTAGCAGTCCAGTGTTGTTCCTCTATCTCCAAACCCGGAGTCCCTAACTCAGGGTATAACACATAGTATATAAAGATCAGGGATGCTACTAAACATCCCATGATTCATAGGTTAGTATTCTACAGCAAAGTATTATCTGGTCCAAATGTCAATTGTGTCAAGATTAAGAAACTGGCTTAGCTAAGAATATTGACTTACCCAAAGAGAGAAGAGCTAGAAAGCGTGTGGCAATCATGGCTTCAAGAGTTCTTTTATCAAAGGATTATATGAGATAAACTTTTCTGTAGAGGAAACAGTACAATATTAATTATAGAATGGAATCTAGGTAGCTGGTTACTCGTATCATTTTACAATCATAGTTTATGGCAACATTGTGAGATTTTAAGTATGGAATTACAGCATCATGATCTTTGTGAACATCAACAAAGTTCACTCAAATAAGTAAATGCACAGTTTCTGAGGTTTTATCATTTAGGTTAAACAGAAAAGCCAGGTTCTTAAGTAACCAATACAATAAGAGCTTGCAGATGATCTTTGATTGGAATGTCTTTTGCATCTCTGTTCATACTGACAATCTCTGTTTCGTGTCTCAAGCCTGCACTTACCGTTTTCTGAAGTGGATACGCAGGTGTCTAAATCCTCTGGCTTAATGCTCCTGGTTCTGTATTGTGCCCTCTAGCCCTTCTGCTGTGAAGTTAGCCAAGAACAGATAAACTGCATTCCTGCTGGCATCCCTTTATAGGAGAGTTCGCTTCCTATGAATAACAGGATATGTCCAAATCGAGCTCAGAGGAATTCCCCAACAGTATCCAGAAAGTTTCCCAGGAATATCCATAAAGATAAAAATTACAATGATATTACAAATCCTGTCACTCAAACAAATTCTCCTTTGTCCATTCCTTTATATTTTACATGCAATTCTATTAACATGACAGAAATTATGATTTTTCATTCTGATAACATAAAATCTAGGTCTTTTGAAAAGTTGTAAAAGGTTATTTAGCAGTATCTTTCATGTAATCTTGTTGTTGTTGTTGTGTGCCATGGAGAAAGTTATGACTCATAGCAACCCTGCACAGGGTTTCTGAGACTGTAAATCTTTAAGGGAACAGAAAGCCTCATCTTTCTCTCACAGAACAGCTGGTAGTTTTGAACTGCTGACCCTGAGGTAAGCAGCCCAATTCGTAATCACTGTGCTACCAGAGTAATCTTGATAGTAATAAGAATTTTGAAAATGTAAGCAAACTAAGACTAATTTTGCTTTCCAAAGAATATGAGTACTACCCTCAATTTTATTTTTAGCAGTAACTGTCAATAATATGTCACCATTTATTTTTTGCTTTCTCACATGCCAACTCAATTCATCTTACAATGCAGTGTCTCCTAGAGGTACACATCCAAAAGTATACATTAATTCTCAGGTTCTATGCACTTATTATGACTAAATTATTCATAAATGAGATCTTTTACTTAAATGCTTGATATAAAGTCTTACTTCTTAAAAAGAATGTTTTATGGGAAATAGGTGCTCACATCTGGAAAATGGCTGTGATTTGAGTGAAAAAGATTAAAAATTATATATACTCATACTCATATTTGAAGTCCTGGTATGGCACTGTGGGTTAAAATGCACTGGACTGCAAAGTCAATTTGATCCACAAGATTGGTGGTTTAAGCTCACCAGCAGCTCCTCGGAAACCCTATATGGGTCGCTGTGGGTCAGAACCAACTCGATGTCACTTAACAACAAAAATATACTCATATTTAATTGACACTAAATATTGCTTAAAAATTTAAATGTATAGATGTACAAAGAATAAAAATGGAAAGAAAATGCACCAAAATATTAACAGCAATTATTACTTGTCAGAATTTTAGATTTTTGTTACATCCTTCCTTATAATTTTCAGGATTTTCCAATTATTGCATCATTGATGTTGTGTTAAGGGCTCTCAAATCAGTTTCAGCTCATAGTGATCCTGTGTAAGGTTTCTGAGAAACAGCTGATGGGTTTGAACTGCCGACCTTGTGGCTAGCAGTCCAGTACTTCTCCTACAGTGCCAAACCAGGACTCCAATTATTTAATCAGACCTCTATAATTTAATTTTATCATATAAACAATGCACTTAAAGAGTTGCATGTCCAAATGTAACTGAAGAGACTCACACATACATAAAAACACATACATAGATACTTATGTAGAAAAAAAAGCCATACAAAACCATAGCTGTCAAGTTGATTCTTATTCATGGCAACTCGTGTGTTACACAGTAAAACTGTTGCATATAGTTTTCTTGGCTGTACTTTTCACAGAAACACATTACCAGACCTTTTGTTTGCGGCACTGCTGGAAAAGGTGCAAACTACCAATTCTTAGGTTAATGATGATTATAAACCATTTGCTTTACCCATGGACCATATATTTGTTTATTACACATATATATTTGTGTGTGTGTGCATATATTTATCAATAATTTTTTGGTGACTATACCCATTCTTTATGTCTGCATATCTCTAATTTAAATGATGGAGACAATAAATAGGGTCATCTTAATGTCCATATTATGTAAGTTTTCAGAGCTCAAATCAAACTAATATATTTTTATTGTGTTGTTGTTAAGTGCTGTCGAGTTGGTCTTGACTCATAGTGACCCTGTACCAAGTTTCCGAGGAGGGAGTAATGGATTTGAACCACAGACCTTGCATTTAGCAATCCAGTGCTTATCCTATAGCACCACACAGCCTTTTAAAATGTTGTTGTTGCTAAGTGTCATCAAGTCAGTTCCAACTCATAGCAAACCTCTTTCAGGTTTCTATGAATGGCTGGTGGGTTTGAACTGCTGACCTTGCACTTAGCAGTCCAGTGCTTATCCTACAGTGTCACACCAGGACTCTCATAAAATAGGAAACCTAAAAATGTACTCTCAGGAGACATAGAATGGTGGCTTTTTTTTCTCTTTACTTGGTGGTGGTGGTAGTTATGCGCTTTGGAGTCGGTTCTGACTCATAGAAAGGTACTCTGTACAGGGTTTCTGAGGCTGTAAATCTTTACGGGAGCAGAAAGCCTCATCTTTCTCCCATGGAGCAGCTGGTAGTTTTGAACTGCTGACCTTGCGGTTTGCAGCCCGATTAGTAACCACTATGCTACCAGAGCTCCATTACTTGTTAGCACTGGATTTTTCCTTTGTACACAAAGATAATCAAGACCTATATCAAAAAAGACATAATAAGAAAAATTCCAATGAATATAAACTTTTTAAAGGAGTTGACATATTTAATTCAATCCCCTCTCAAGAAACCCAACTCTTAACAAATGGTTCATATCCCAAGCTTCCAATCTGTTACATTATCCTTATACTACAGTCAGTTCTTTTCACACTTAGCTGGATGTGGTTTTGTTGATTGATAAATGAAGAAAAACAACACAAACTAAACCCACTGACATTGAGTCAGTTCCTACTCACAGTGAACCTTAGGACAGAGTAGAAGTACCCTATAGAAATCCCAAGGCCGTGAATCTTTACAAAAGCAGACTGCTATATCTTTCTCCCACAGATCAGCTGGTGGGTTCAAACTGACAACCTTTCCATTAGTAGATGAGTGCTTTAACCCCTGAACCACCAGTGTGCTCCTAGATAAATGAAGAAGTCAGTATTTATTTAGATTTCAGGAAAGAATGTGAAGTTGGGTTAATATAATATCTATATGTGTTTCATTTGGTATTTAAGTTTGGAACACATGATCTATTATGCAAAATGGCATGGCCAACTGTGTATTGCAACCAAACCTTAAAACAAAATATAGCTGGCATGACAATTACTTTATAAATAAAAATTAGTTATAGATGTCTCTAGACAACTTCTTTTATTATTATGATTTATTTCATAAATGTAAGCTTATAGTTTGTCTCTTTATTTTTAGTTGAAAGATATAAAAAATATTCCTAATTAATACAGCTAATACAGTTCTGTTTCATTTAAAAAATAAATTCCCTTGGCCACCAAATATAATTTCTAACATTTATTGAACATGTACTATGTGTCAGGCCCCATTCTGAACATTTTGCATGTTTGTATAATGATTTAATCCTAACAACAATCATATGTGATAGGTAGATAGATATTTGGATGGATGGATGGGTAGATAGATGGGTGGATGATGAATGGTGGGTGAGTGGTTGGGTGAATGGATGGATGAGTGAAAAGACAGATTGATGGATAGATAAAAGGATGGATAGATGGGTGAATGGATGAATGGATGAATGAGTAGATGGGTGGATGGGTGGATGGATAGATGGATGGATGGATGGGTAGCTGCTGTCAAGTTGATTCTAATTCCTGGGGAACTGTGTATAATAGAACAAGACCTGCATCATCTTCATTATCACCACTGGTATGTTCAAGCCCATCATGGTGGCTATTGTGCCAATCCATCTCACCAAGGGTTTCCTTCCCCTTGTTGACCCTCAACTTTGCCAAACATGATGTCTTCATCTAGATTGGTCCTTCCTGATAATACTTTCAAAGCAAGTAGTTAGGTAGTGTTCTGCTGTGATCTATTAAGTTTTCTCTGGCAAAGTTTAAAGAGTTGATCACCAAACCCTGCTTCTAGTCTTAGCCTGGCAGCTCCTTTGAAACCTGCCCATCATGGTGCTCCTGCTGGTAGTTGAAGTACCAGTGGCATAGCTTCCAGCATCATAACAACATGCAAGCCACCATAGTACAACAAACTGACAGATGAGTGGTCGACCCTATGAAATAGGAGCTCTTATCTTCATTTTATAGGTGAGGGACTTGAGGGACCAAGGATTTTATCTCTCTCATTCAAGATTCTAGAGCTAAGAATTTGAAACCAGGCTGTTGGTACCCATAAGCCACCCCCTTAGCTGCTACTCCAGACCATGACTTCTTTTATTTTTATGCCTCATGCTAAGCCTCCCTGTTCTGTCCATGCCTCCAACCCTCCTCAGGCTCTATTATTCCCAAGAGCTCCTTGACCATCCCAGCTCTCCATCAGAAGACTTAAGCACCACACTATGAGGGTCAGAAAGGGACCTCAGGGGGAACCTAGATTGACAGGGCAGGGAGGATGGTAGAGTCTCCAGTGAGTAGTATCCAACCTGTCTAGGAAAGGCTGATGAAAAGAAATGCAGATGGGTCTCTTGTGATGCAAGGGTGAATAATTGTTATCAGGATTGATTGTGAGGACTGGAAATGTAAAGGTAGATATTTTATA